TCAGGGATCCAGCTGTTCTGTACTGCCCCCCACTCCCTTCCCCTCTTGGGAATGACGCTCAGGGCAGTGCCTCCCAGTTTAGGGCATGAGCTCCCCCCTTGCCCCATCCTGCCCTGGGTCTCAGGCAGCAGACCCAGGAAGGAAGGCCCCCCATGTGCTCTCAGGTTGTGTGGCTTTATTCACAGACTCAGCCCTTGCTGAGGATGGAAGAAAAGGACATTTGGGGGCCCGGCTGGGCCTGGAGATGAGGGTGGCTGGGAGGCCATGCGCGGAGGGATGGGGGCAGGGGCACTCGGAGGACAGCCTGCTGGCTGGGAGGCAGGCAGCATGCGGGAGGCCTGGTTGGATGCGCACAGAGCAGATCCCGTCCAGGCCGAGGCTGTGAGCCAGAAAGGGAGGACCGAGGGGTTCGCTGGGGCACAGGCAGCGGTGGGGGCTGGACAGCAGGCACCCTGCCCCTCACTGCTGCCGGGGAAAGGACTCGGTGGAGGGGTCAGGATGCCTGGTCCCCCTGGCGTCACTGTCCTGCGGATGCGTGGACATATTGCCTTTGGGGTGGCGCACACAGGGATGATCCGGGGGCAGTGGTCGGGATGCTGGAGAGGGTGCCCAGGGCCTGGTGGGCGGGACATCCCCAGCCAGGGGGGTAGGGTGGTGAGGGGTGGGGGAGCGACCCCTTCCAAGCCAAGCTTGCTTTCCTAACGGCTGGTGTCAGTTCCCCGCTGTGGTCTCCGGGGGCGCCATCTCCCACCGCAATCCGGGCCAGCCACTGCGCCGAGGGGGACGGTGAGGTTGACCCCTTCTTTTTTGGTCCCCCCCTCTCCTGCTCCTTTCTGATCCGCCCCGGCCCGGCCGGCCCTGACCTTCCTGTCTAAACTCAAACAAGGAGTCCAGAGCCCGGAACCTCCTCCGGAGAGCCCCTTCCCACCCAGCAGGGAAGGAAAAGCCAGTTCCCCGGGCTCCGGAAGGGTGCCGCTCCCTGCCTGGGAAGCGCAGTTTGGAAAGTTGGCTGGGGGCTCTCTGGGCGGTCCGGGAGGTGACCCGGGGGCCTGGGAAGCTGAGGGCACAGGCCCCCCCGCACCCCGCCCCGCTCTCCACCGGCCTCCGGGCGGGGTGGGTGGGGCTGGGGTGGACAGCTGCAGGCGAGGCGGCCATCAGCACTGGCGGGACGGCGTGCGGTGCACCGAGCC